TCGTAGCAGAAGAAAGGGAAGGAGGAGACAGGGCTTCCAAGGCCATGACCACGGCTGTAGGATGGCTTTACATAAACTGAATCTGAGTGTCCTCCTGGAAACTGAGAGCTGGAGGCGAAGTCAAGGGAGGGCTTTCCCAGCCCCTGTGCCCCCGGCTCACAGGCCTCCAGGCAGAGCCGGGCCCCCCGCCGCGGCTTCACTAGGACCACTCAGGGTCCGCGCTCAACACTGTTTCCGGGCAGCTCCCCCCCAGCCCACAGGCTGCGCCTGGACTGCACCTCGGAGCCCTCCCTCGGGGCCGGGACTTTGACCCCTGATAGGATTCTCAGTACAAGGAAGGGGTGCCTCCCCGCACTGCGACCAGGCGTCTGCAGCTCTGGGTAAAGCAGCGTCTGGGGCAGGTTTCATGAGGTGAAGGAAAGAGAGGAGGTTTTGCAAATCCTCCGACCCTCCCTGTGCTCATTTGGGACGTAAACTTGCGAATGTGAACATGAGCCTCTTGCGTCATCTTTAGGGAAACAAATATAAGTTGTTCTGGACCAAACTCTACTACAAATTGCTCCCCAAGTAGGTGTCCGGTGCCAGAGTCCATCACCGGTTGACCACACGTTATTTTCCAGACACTGCAAAGAGTTTCCCACCCTCTATTTCACTTAATTCTCATGACAAGCTATGAAGGACTTCTGATGACTCCTGGTAAACTGGGTAAAGCTGGGTAAACTGAGGCTCAAAAGGGTCACGTGATGGCTCAGGGTGACCCGTCCTGCAGTGTAGCCGGATCTGAACCCTGGTCTGTCTGGCCCCAAAGACTTCCAGCTCCTCTGCCGCGGCTGTGACTTGTCAGAGCAGCTGTGACACGTGTCACTACCACCTGGCTAGGCGAGAAGGGTTGCAGCAGGACCCACTTCACTCCTGAAGCGCAGTCACAATTACAGACAGAGGTTAGCAGAAGAGCAGCGCTTGGACCTGTTCCAGGCAGACCGTCAGGAAGGAGCGGGGGTCTGTGGCTTACGAGACCAGGCTTGGCAGCTTTGTGTGTGAGACGGGAGCCGCCAGGTTCCAGAGAAATCGGGGGGATCCCCCGCGTCAGGCTGTTCACAGAGCCCCCAAGACCAGCGTGATCTTGGCCCCGCTCAGAGCCAGCCTTTCAAACTGACTCCCAAGACGGTAATAAAATCAATGGTGAAGTCTCCCCAGGCCCCTTCGACTCTTAGAAGAGACTTGTGGAGACCCACTTCCTGGGGTGCTCCATTCAGCCCATCACCCAGATGCTCTTGACCTCCCCGTGCAGACCAGCCGCACAGAATGGCTGTGATGCGGGCTCTGAGCTGTGGGGGTTGGGGGAGACACACATGTCTGTAAAGCACAGACGGAATGAATCTCTTGGTAACCGGAAGCCCCGCTCATGGTGACGGGACGTTCTGATGGCGGAGGACGGGCCGTCTGGGGGCCGTGGTGGGACAGGGCCACAGCCACAGCCACAGTTTGGATCAGGGCAGCAGGGCGCCTGCCAGAGGAAGGCAGCTGTCAGGGATCCGCACAGAACAGGCAGGATTGGGAAAGGCCCATGTGCCGGGGACCCAGGCGCCCAGCAAATCCAGGCTCAAGTCCAGGCTCCCCGGGGGCTAACGCGGCAGCGGCTGCAGCAAAGTCAGCAGCCCCGATCTCAGCCCACCTGCCCGGAGTGGGGGAGCCCCACATCCGGCTGCTGCCCCGGACAAGCTGGGACCTCCGGAACCCAGGCTTCCCCTTTGCTCCTAGTGACCAGGAAGTCGAATGACGGTTCCCACGGTCCCAGGAGAGCGCAGCCAGGGCCCTGGTCATCCTTGGGCCCTGTCCCAACTGTCTTCCTTGAGCAGCCGTGCCAGACCGAGAAAGTGTCTTTGACATGTCCTCATTCTGTTTTCTTGTTTTCTTTTGGGAGGGGGACAGGTGCACCCATCCCCCCAGCACCCAGTGGCACTGAAAATCCAAGAGAGCCGGGTTCCCGGAGAGTGAGTTCTGCCCGGGTACCCGTGGTGTCTGGGGGATGTGTGAACCTGTCCCGCCGCCGCGACGAGCTCTCTCGGTGCCAGAATGTGCAGCGACTCTGTGTCTGATGGGCAGACATCTCGGGGCCTTGCTGGCCCTGGAGAGACTGCCCTCTCACAGAATGGGCCAGTTCCAGGAGACAGCTGACGGCTTGTCTTGGAGAGCACCTTCGATTCAAACCAACCCGTCTGGGGCCCACAGCCCCTCCGCATCCTCTGTGGGGTCTCACGTGCCGGCCACTGTCCACCTCCCAGCATCACCAGAACCAGGTATCGGACAACTGGGGCAGCCCTGCGCCCCACAGTCCACGAAGCTGTTCCACCTGGCCCATCCCAAGCTGGCTCACGCCTCCGCTCCCTAAAAGCCACAATGAAGACTCTTGCCCACAGCTCCCTGCCCCCCCTTGCCCCCCGACCAACCCTGGTGCTTCCCTGTGTGGCCCTGCGTGGTGCAGTGAGCCCTGTCCCGGGACCTGAGAGTGACAAGCTATCTTCCGATGGCAGTCGTGTCCTGATCTGTTGGCCCCTCCGTACCTGAATGACAATGAAACCTACATTTTAAAACAGTGTGAGCAGAACACTGGTCTGCAGGAGGCACGGCGGCTCAGCCGTGGCAAGCTTCACCTGCAGTAAACATGCTTGTAATTTGACAGGAGCCCTCGTAATGAAGAACAAGAACACACTCTGTCCGCAGGGGGAGGAGGCGGAGACGGTCAGGACACACCGCTCAGGGCAGGTTGGTGCCCACACGCCTACGTACGCTCCTGTCACTGGGTGTTAACATCCGTGAGAACCGCACCTGACGGATATTACCAGGTAGCTGGTGTGGGTCGGCTGTCCCCCAACAGGGGCAGAGCCGCCCAGCGCGTCAGTTCTGTGGGGCCAGCAGGGGGCGCACCTGGACCACATCCACACGTGCGTCTGCTGCTCCAGGCAAGCCTCTTGCGTGAAATCCAGGATCTACAAGACAAAGAGGGGGTGATTCTTCTGCCTTTAACTAGCATCCACTGAAGGTTCCTTTCAAATAGGAAACTTAGGTGACCTAAATGATTTGATTTGCCAAAAAACCAAAAAGCTTTGTTTTAACTGCCCCCTGCAGCCCCCACAGGAGCCTACTTAACGCAGGGAACGCACCTCATGACGGCAGTCCTCACGTTGGTCAGCAATAAAGGAGTGTCGGGCCACCACCGCCAAGGCTACCTGGTCAGCCGTGTGGCAGGAGGGACATGTCCCAGAGCAGGTGAGGGGAGAAACAGGCTGTGTGTGCAGGAGCACAAACGTCCCGTCCACCTGAAGCCCTCTTGTGCCGATTCTCTCAACTAATGGTTCAGAGGCTGCAAATTCCTGATTCTCTCACTCGGTCAAGTTTCTGGTAGTGTTTTTTGCAACACTTCACAATGGGGGTACTTCACATAGGAAGTCGGTTTTCCGGCTTCCAGTGAAAGGCGGGGAGAACGGGCCATGCTGGGCCCACAGCACCCGGTCAACAATCAGCTAAGCTCAGCAGGGCAGCTGCTCCCGTGCGTGGGGCACAGGCTCCCTGTTTGCCACAGTCCCCACCACTCCACACTGCCTTCCCACCCGTAACCATCTCTCACTGCACTTAAACGCTGATCTGTATGTCAAGTCCTTTCAAATGTGGGAGCATAAGTGGGTCTATAAGATCATGTTTTTCCAGAAAAAAAAAGGGGGGGGGGACCAGAGAGCACTGTGATGTGTTTTATAGGAAAGCATCCAAACATCTGACGTGACTTCAGAGACCTTGTTGTGCCCCGACGGGAAGCAGGGAAGCTTCTTCAGGGAGAGCTGACAGGGGGCTTGGGGAGCAAGCTCAGGCCCTGAGGGGCAATGCCGCCCAGGCAAGCAGAAGAGCTCAAGGCCTGACAGGCCGGGGGAAGCACCTCCATGGGCCACGGAGGATGAGGAAAACCCAGGACTCGATCACTGGAACTTGGATGGTAATTAACTGATTGTGACGGATTCTAACCCTGCCAGGCAGGAAGCCCTGCCCTGTGCAGAACTGAGTTCTACCCCCTGAGAGAGGGAAGGCAGCTGGTCGGCCCCATCAGCCACGGGACAGCCTCTCTGAAGGCCGGCTGCACGACCCTGAACACGGCTGGGCGGCAGAGGGAGACGGGGAATCCACAGGCCCCCGGGAGCTTCGCGGCTGGGCCACAGAGGAGGCTTCCCCTGGGCCAACAAGGGACACGGAGGAAAGGGAAAACCCGACGTCAAAGGACCAGCTGTCTGTTCACCTTCCAGTTCAGACAGAGCATCCCCTCGGGCGGCCACGACGCATTTCCTACATAACACAGAGTGCTCAGGCCGCCCCGAGGGGCAGGGTGGGGCATCCACCCGCCTGCAGAGAAGACAAACAGCCACGCCTTTAGACAGGAACTCCCACGTCAGTAAAAGTAGAAGCACGTGTTTTATTTAATTAAAATAGATTAAAAACAGACTGTGTAGAAGAATTAGGACTCAATAACTTACTATTATTTACACGAGCCAGTTCTGGTCGTTAGTAGACTCTGTGAGGAGACACACACAGAAAGCAGGCCTCCCCAAGGGTGAAGGGAGACCCGCTGGGGACACCCAGCGACCGGACCCCCCTGCTCTCGGGTTAACGCGTCACTCATGTCCCCGAGAGCCTGGTAATCGGCAGGAGGGGGCACCTCAGCCGCCGGGCC